TGCATTTTTTTCTTTTAAAAATTAATTTTTGCATGGACAAAAAGATTGAAAAACTTTCTTAAATAAAGGGATCAGAATATGTAGAATAAAATAAATACTCCGTATTTTAGGACATACTCCGTATCAAAATAGTATGGATCGAGTACTCCCTATAGTATAAAGTCGCCAAAAATTGGCGGAATGCTCTGGAAACCAATTCACTTGAGTGAGGACCGACTATCTAGACCTTTAGGACATTTTCAAGAGGAGTTCCCATTACATTAGAATGACATATCATGGGATGACTCGAGATCCCCACGTTGTTTTGTTCGTAAAATTGACGATTCTTATGCTCTTAACCCCATCTATAAACGCCCTTCCCCCGAACACACCCTCGTTCGTAAAATTGACGACGCCCACTACTTATATCACTACTTATTTATGAATATGTTACTACAATATATTAATTAAAAGATCTACAAAAAAGTTGTGATATGCCTATTTTATTTTATCAAATGAAAAATAAAAATGTATTAACAAAGTTATCAGAAGTCTGATCTAATAAAGAAAACTATAATTTAGGTTCAAAGAAGTATTCACACGGTTAATTTTAACTATATTTAATCATTAATCTTTACCTGTTTGAATATTATTGTCATTGTTTATTTTATACTCTCTCCATACACTAAAACACTTTCTATTTAATTACTATTCAAGGATACTCGATAACTTTCGTTTGCGTGTGTTTTTATTAGTCATTTGGTAAAATAAAATATTTTTGTCACCACCTATTTTGTAGAATTTTTGATATAGTTTTTAAATAGGTAAGTTAGATTTTTTATTTTTATACCAATTTGTAAATAAATCATTTAAAAGTGAGATTTTGCACGTAAAAATGAAATAGGAATAGTTTTGGTGAATGGAGGGAGAAGAACTTTTGAGATATAGTATTTAAGTATATAAATTTTTGTTATAAATATTTTTTTTCAAACAATCAATTTAAATTTATACCCCGTATTACTTCCCAAATAAGTCAAATAAAAAATTGTCATTCAACTATCTTAACTAGCAATAGAAAAGTCTGAGGAATATTTTCTTCATTTCCCACTTACGAGTATTGTTTAGCAATGCTCATTCTATCCATATCAGGTTGTCAGTATTTAGAGAAATTTTTTATTTTTAATTTTAATTTTTTTTGGATTATTCTCGTGGCATGTGATTTTTTTTAAAATAAATATCTGCAATTAATTAATTAATCAATTAATGGGTATAAATGATGAAAATAAATTATAATGGGCGGCAACAGGTTTTAGGATATGGATGGGCTGGACTTCTAAGAAAATACGTGGTGGAGCCCGCTCACATGTGGTGGCCCAGCACTCTCGTCCAAATCTCCCTCTTCCGGTAACAACTTTGAATTTCAATCTTATATTTTGACATTAAATTTTATTGTCCTATTATGACATCAAGTTCCCACAAAATATTATATTATGACATTGCATTATGACTTTAAATTTTATTGTCGTATTTATAGTTGGGTACAATATCACTTCAAATGAACCAATACCATATTATAAGCTTGGACTTCAATGTCAAAATAATCAGACTCATTTTCATAATTTAATTGTTCAATGTGATTCTACGTAACATTAAAAAGTACTATAGTACTAATAAAAGATGTACGTTTAATAGTAAAAACACTAGTCTATACATAAATGGTTAGAATTTCTTTAAAACAGGGGAAAGTGTTTTATACCATAATCTTTTAATTAAAAGAAACAAAGAAAAAGTGAGAAAATTACAGTACTTCAAAATGAATAAAAAACAAAAGATCAGTAAATAAAATGAGCGGCGTACTTTTTTCTTAAAAGGAAAGTTATATTTTTTGTATGATTAAAAAATGAGAAACTTTTTTGTAATGAGATTTTTTTTAATTTAAGTTGGCAAAGGGCCGGAAAATTAATATACTACTCCCTCCGTCCCAAAAAGATTGGTACATATTGACTTTTTGGGAAATTAAGAGAGGGATATTTTGGTGTTGACTTTCCAAAAAATACCCTTGATGTGATGGGTAAAAGTAGGATGTGATGGCCGATGGGTAGATTATTAGGAAAAAGGTATGATGTGATAGGTAGGGTATGAAAAAGTAAGGGGCAAAAGTGGTTTTTAATATAAATGTAACGGACTTTACGGGGCACGGTTTTTTCGAAATGTATCGGACTTTTTGGGACGGAGGGTCTTATGAATTGCAATATGATCTATGAAATTCTTGTATAAAACACTTTTAATTTGTGGTCTAACTCAATTTCATAGGACACTCCATGAAAGGGATAGTGAAGGTGAAGATAAAGGGCACATGTCCCGGGCAAAGTTCTTTGTAATTGCCTTAACTTGCAGTTTCTTGTGGTACTTATTCCCTGGCTACCTCTTTCAGACCCTACAAAGCATCTCTTGGGTGTGTTGGGCCTTCCCAAAATCTGTTACGGCCCAACAGCTCGGGTCAGGAATGAGCGGGCTTGGGCTTGGAGCCGTGACGATGGACTGGGCCACAATAGCGTCATTTTTGTCCAGCCCACTCATAAGCCCGTTCTTCGCCATTGCCAATGTCTTTATCGGCTACATGAGTGTGATGTACGTCGTGATTCCCTTGTTCTATTGGGGGTTCAACGTCAACAGCGCAAAAAACTTTCCCATTATTTCATCGGACTTGTTCACCGCGCGGGGCCAACTGTATAATATATCGGCCATTGTTAACCAGAAGTTTGAGCTTGACGAGACGCAGTACGCCAAGCAAGGGAGGATACACTTGAGCACCATGTTTTCTTTGGCCTATGGGTTCGGATTTGCTACGATTGCGTCTACGCTTTCTCACGTAGCCATCTTCTATGGAAGGTACAGTAACAAATTTAGTTTAAACTTTTGGTTGTATTGATCCTAAAAAATATGGATGCATTGCTTGGGCATGGGGGATGGGCCCAATGACATTGGGTAAAAGTAAAGGGTTGATTTCTCAAAAGTGCCCTAGTGAGATTTTTTCTGGATTCGCTGAGTAAAATTTAACCCTTTATGTTCATTTCAATGGGGGTGCGTGCAGGGAGATATACGATCGATACAGAGCTTCGACAAAGGGAAAAGAGGATATCCACACTAGATTGATGAGGAACTACAAAGACATACCTTCATGGTGGTTTTACATACTTCTTTCAGTGACAATGGTGGTTTCGCTAACGTTGTGCATCTTCAAGAAAGAGGAGGTTCAGATGCCATATTGGGGACTTCTCTTTGCAGCTGCCATTGCCTTCTTCTTCACCCTCCCCATTAGCATCATCACTGCTACCACAAACATGGTAATTCTCATTAGATAGTTGTTAGAATTGTGCTTTGACCTTGCTTATTAAGGGCACGTTTGGTGGTCGAAACAAAACTGATATGATATAGGTTTTTAATTTGGAAAGAAAAGATACGAATATGAAATCTGAATATAAGTGTTCCACTAAATACTTTGAACTTTTTTTCGGTAACGACCCATATCAGAAGTCATATCTTTTGCATTCACTAAACGAGACATTAAAAAAACTTGTACATCTAATATGTGCATGTGTGAGTTTTTTTTTTGTCTTATTTATTTTCTTTGAAAATGAGGCAGACACCGGGACTGAATATAATAACAGAATACATAATGGGGATAATATATCCGGGAAAGCCAATAGCCAATGTGTGCTTCAAGACGTACGGATACATGAGCATGGCTCAAGCTGTCTCCTTCCTCGGCGATTTCAAGCTTGGCCATTACATGAAGATTCCTCCCAGATCCATGTTCTTGGTTCAGGTATTATACACCAAAAACAAATCAAGAAAAAAAAATAATATTCGACGATTATCTTATTATAATGGAAATGTTCACATTATGTCTCTCGGAATTATACGATATATTCATATTTATTAAATGACGCCAATACTCCCAGAATTTTTACATAAAATGAAGCAATTCTAGTAGTGAGTGTGAATTTTTCATAGTATAATAAGTTGGTTTGATGATTGAGAGTGAAATTGGATGCAGTTCATAGGAACCATAGTAGCCGGAACAACCAACATGGTCGTAGCGTGGTGGCTCTTGCATTCGGTCGACAACATCTGCCACCAAGACAAGCTCTCGAACAGCCCGTGGACGTGCCCGGGCGACCACGTCTTCTTCGACGCGTCGGTCATTTGGGGTTTGGTCGGCCCGAAGAGGATCTTCGGGTCCCTCGGGAACTACTCGGCCCTTAACTGGTTCTTCCTCGGAGGTTTGTTGGGTCCCGTCGTGGTTTGGCTCCTACACAAGGCGTTCCCCTCCCAAGCTTGGATCCCTCTCATCAACCTACCCGTCCTCTTCGGGGCCACCAACGGCATGCCCCCCGCGTCCTCCCTCAACTACACGTCTTGGATTCTGGTGGGGACCGTCTTCAACTTCTTTGTTTTCAGGTACAGGAAGAGGTGGTGGCGGAGGTACAATTACATCCTGTCGGCGGCGTTAGATGCTGGCGTCGCGTTCATGGCCGTGTTTCTGTATTTCACGGTGGGGTTGGAGAACCGGACCGTGACATGGTGGGGCACCACCGACCCCGAGCATTGTGATCTTGCCACGTGTCCCACCGCCAGAGGTGTGGTTGTGGATGGTTGTCCTACGTTTTAGTCTCTATCTTTTTTTATAGCTAGCTCTTGTAACCAACTCGCATCGATAAAAAAGTAAACTTGTATCATATCGGGTCACGTGCTATAAAGAAAAACACTCCATCATACTACGTACGGAGTACAAAAAATGTGCATTTTTCTACAATTTCAAATTCAATATTTCATATTTATCCTTTCCCGGATTGAAAGTGTTGTTAGCAAGAAAATAAAGAACTCTTTTAGATACGAAATGAAAACAGTGCAATCATCAAATATGCATACATCAATTTCATAATGTGCATGCTCTAAGTATGTGCACAATAAATAAATATGCAAAATGCACAATGTATAACATGTAATACAGGAATTCTTTTCCTCAAGGTTTAGTTTCCTTCAACTTCGCTTTGATATTTTCTTTATTCCAAACATGCCCTTATACGTTTCTGGCAAATGAGTGGTCGTTTTGAAGACATAAAGTTATTCCTTTTTTTTCTCTTCTAAAAGTCTCATGAAGATCAATGGCATTCAATTACCTAGTTCTTGACAGTTACTAAAAACGGCTAAAAGTGAAAGGGAAGGCACCAGATATAAACAGAGAAAAACACTAGGAGAATAATGCAGCACAATGTCAGCTTACAATGTGGTAACAGCACCTTTTTGACTTAGCTGTTCAGTAAAACTCTTCTTCACAACTCCTCTAGAGCACAACTCCTCCAGCAAACCCAGAGCTTCCTTTCCAAACCCTTCATAGGCTAGACCCTCAATGAGAATAGTGTATGTAGATTGAGTCGGTTGACACCCCTTTGACACCATTTCGTCCAACAAGTCAATTGCAAGGTCCGTTTGGCGAGCTTTGCAAAGTCCCAACATTACAGCATTGTAAGTGACAGTATTACCCACGGTACCCAAGTCTTCCAAGTCACAAAACAACTTAACTGCTTCAACACCTTTTCCTTCCCTACCGAGAGCCAATAAGAGCGAAGAAAAGGTTAATAAATCAGGTTTCATATCTTTTTTCAGCATCTCTTCAAACATTTTTGTGGCCAGCTCCGTCTTCCCCACTTTTGACAGACTATCTATAAGCAAGTTGTAGGTGATAAGCTCGGGAGAACAAGAATTTCTTGTGCTCAGTTGGTTAAAGATTTCGATTGCAACTTCAACCATCCCATCTTTGCAGAGAGTGGTGAGCAATGTGTTATAGGTCACAGTATTAGGGTAATATCCCCTGGAAATCATCACATCTAGATACCCAATTGCCTCTTCCATCTTGTTTTCAATGCATAATGTGTGAACTATTGGGTTGTAACTCAAGGCGTTGGGCCTGCACCCGTGCTTTGGCATCTTCTCCAACAAATCAATTGCTCTTCCAGTTATACCCTTCCGGCACAAGAAATTGATGAGAATATTAAAGGTTGTGACACTCGGAGAACTACAAGGTTTCTTAACCATCTCTTCAAACAGCCCCAAGGCATCCTCCCATCTATCGGTGTTACACATTCTACGCAAGACGATGTTGTATGTAATCCGGTCGGGTTGGACCCCATGGGACGGCATTTTATTCAAGAACCTAACCCCTTCATCCAAACCCTCCGATTTGCAAATCGCATCAATCAAGGTGTTACACGTCACGACATTGGGCCTAAGTCCTGTACTCCTCATCTCATCCAATAGTTTCATCGCCTTCTGGGGCCCACTCTCCTTGCGCGCTGCCTTAGAAGTGAACATGTCGGGGGTACACTTTCTGCTCTTCAGATGCAAACCAAGAACCTCCATAGCTTGGTTGAGTTTCAGGGTTTCACACAACGTCTGGAGGATGGTGTTGTATGTGACCACATCAGGAGAAACACTCATTCGGCTCACAACGTCAAATGCCTTTTGAACCTCACCCGCCTTACAATATGCGTTGATCAAGATGTTGTACGACTTGACATCGGGCACCATCCTTGAACCCTCTAGAAGCTCCACTGCCCTTGTGGCCTTGTTAATCTGCCCACTTCTGCAGAAAGCCTTAACCAAATCACGGCATAGATCTACATCAGGGATTTCTCCACACTGAACCATAGCCTCAAAGTGTCTAAATCCTTCGCCTAGTTTTCGCCTCTTCAACAGCCTCCTAAGTTTCTCATTACTCTCAAAGCAATTGCTACTGTTAGTCCCTACAGTTTCAACACTATAGCAAGCAATGGCCTTGTTATCCCTACGTTTCGAATTCCACTCCAATTTCCCCAAATCACCACCACAACCACCAAAAGGGCGACTCAGAGACACATTTGTAGAACTGATACTAACACTTCTCCCTTTACCGAGAAATGAGCAAAAACCTTGGTGGGTTTGACTCGTGCAGAGCATCATCTCCATTTTCAACTAACGATTGTACACAGAGAGTTCAAAGCATCAAACCTCCATCGTGTTAATGCGCGGCGGCACCGACGACTACAACAAGGAGATACGCAGAGAGATAGAGGCTTGAAGTTAGTGATTCCAGAAGGAAAAAAAAGAGATGGCTTACAGCGGCGGTGCTTGGCCGGAACGGCCGGGGAATCCGGGAGCGGCGAGGCGGACAGAGACGAGGGTTCTACGGCTTTCATTTCTCATCCTCATTACTCCGGTATTAAATTTGGAACTAAAACTGGATAGGAAGGATTGAAGGAATCGGCCTTCCGTTTAACAGGCCTATATCCAAGCATTTCTTCCGTCTGTGGAATAGGCCCAATACGATCATTTAAGTCCAAGTTTAGATCCATGCCTTTTATGTCTTTCTCCAAAATACAATTGGGCCCATCTATCAAAATTTTGTAAAGTTATATTCCCTCCGTCCATAAATAAAGTTTGCATTGCGCGTTATGATGTTTGACTGAAATTATTTTACATGAAAATGGTATGACATTGAAAAATAAAAATTACATATTTTAGAAATACATGAAAACACTACAAAACTAGAAGTGACATGACTATATTATTTTATCAAATATGGCACGAATATTGGTAAACAAAGTGAATAAAATTCGATCCCGTGAATAGCGAAACTTGGACGGAGGTACTCCATCCGTCCCAGTGTATTTGTCCAGTTTGACTTTTTCGAGTCAAAATGGACAAACTTTGAGCTTTAATTAAATAAAAATTGTAATGTATTTTAACATAAAAATGGCTTTATTGGATTTATCGTATTGAGAACTTTCAAAATTATATTTCATTATACTAATATGCAATATCAATTAAGAGTAATTGGAGTTCAAAGTTTGTCCTGTTTGACTTAAAAAAATCAAACTGGACAAATACATTAGGACGGACAAATACGTATGTGTATGCAATCATTCCACCTAACAACAATGGAAGAAACTAAAACAAATAGCATATGCATAGACTATCCATTATATTATTAAAGATTAAGTCAAGAAACTACTTATAACCTGCATGCCTTCCCTTCAAGGAATCCCATAGTCCCAACTAACTTTCAAAAGAAGGGCATATTTTTTCACCAACTTTTAGTTTCATTTAATCAAATTATAGATTATGGTTCCATTATCTTAAGATTCACATGTAAAATATGAACATTCTCACACTTTTATTAGACCTAGAAATCTTTTATTTTTTTCAAAGAGCTCAATTCATTCATGATATTTATATACTAAGGTCTATAAAATGGTTGTGGATCTTAAGATCACTTAAGACCAAAGAAGAATTTGTCGGAAAAGTTAGGATTCTTATTTTTCATTTCCGACCGGTTCATCTATTTTTCCCCACTCTTCTCTCTCTATATATATGGGCACACGGTGTACCAGTTTGCAATATGCATTGTGGGCAAATATTATTATTACTCAGTTAATAAAGATTAATTATATGGAGGGCAATTGCGCTATAGGAGTACGACTGTACAAACAAGATCGCCATGTACGTATGTAATTAATTAATTAATTACGTTGTACCATTAAAAAGAAACTTTAATTTGTGTAATTTAAAATCTTTAATTTATTTGATTGCTGCATGTGGGCAGGCCTCTTGGGCTGATTTAATAATCTGTACAATAATTTACAGAGTAATTAAATATTAATTAACTGTGGTAATTACAGGTTATGATGGATAATGGTATAGTTCAAGTGACGCTATCAAATCCAGAGGGGATTGTGACTGGCATACGTTATAATGGCATGGACAACCTTCTTGAAGTTCTTAATGATGAATCTAACCGAGGGTAATTTTTGTTTTACCATTTTTTAAAAAAGTACTCCGTATTTTCTTTTTTCATCATCCATTTTACCTTACTATTAAGTGAAATTTGCACTAAATAGAACTAAAACATAATGACTTTCCTAATGTAGGACTTAAACTTTTTTATTCCTTAAATAGGACTTAATAATGACCCAGTGAGAGAAATAATGTCTTGTAATGTTAGACATTTACTTGAATAATGACTACTTGATAATGACCAAAAGTCATACATTGAGAAATAAAAACATATGGTCCTATATTGAGAAAGTCATTTTGAATGGTATTTGGTCAAAAAATTACACACTTCAACTACAAATTATAAGAAAAATATATTGAATCATAATATAAATTTAATACAATTGGATTCATCTTAGGATCTAGTTTTGATACATCAAATTTTTATAAATTTTTTTATTTAGATTATACGGAATATTTAATTTATGGTCAAAGCGTGTAATCGTTTGACCAAAAATACATCAAAATAGGTAATATTTTGTGGGACAGAGGGAGTACAAAAAATAAATGATACAAGTTTCAACGTGGTTCGATTCCCAAATGCAACATAATTTTTATAATTCTTTTTTTTTCTTTGGTTATATGCTTGTATATGTAGGTACTGGGACGTGGTATGGAATGATACTAGTAGTGAAGGTGGGAAATATGGGATTTTCGAAGTGTATGTACGCCTGGTGGAGTGCTCTTCCTCCATTTCAAGTTGACTTTATAGAATGGAATAACAATAATCCTTTTTTAATGTCTCAATGATAATTATACTAATTAATGATAATAATAATAATATATTTCAATAAATCTTAGTGTAATCCTGGCACGACCTAATATATTTAGATTAAATTTTCTATATATGATGATTATATTTATGTTTGTAGGATTAAAGCGACCAATTTTGATGTTATAACTGAAACAGAAGAGCAAGTGGAGGTATCATTCTCAAGGCCATGGAATCCCACCCTCAAACACTTTGCTCCACTAAATATTGATAAAAGGTTAGTTAGTTTATGATTTTTACTTACTAGAACGGCTCGGTTAAACACCATACATTTTTAGCGTTGTATTATGACACTATGTTTTTACGATGTTTCACTTGAAAAATTGATGATTACGTTCTTATTCCTCGACACGGCCAAAATCTCCTGCATCCCTTGTCCTCATACCCAACCACCTCTTGTTATGAGTTCACTATTGCCAATTGGTGAACATGAGAAAATCTGATGAAGGCACGAGGATTTTAGGATACAAAGGATAAAAATTATTAATTTTAAAAACGAAGTTATTTCAACCATTTTGTTATTAGAGAAAGGTTATTAATAGATACTCTCTCCGTTCTCAAAAAGAGTTCCTACTTTGAAAAAGTGGAAAAATAAGGAAGTGTTAAATTGTAGTTGACTTCCAATTTTGCCCTTGATGTGATGAGTAAAAGTAAGATGTGATGGGTAGATTATTAGAGAAAAAGTATGATGTGATAGGTAGGGTATGAAAAAGTAAGGGTAAAAGTGGTTTTTTAATAGAAAGTGGAAGTGTTTTGTTGGAAGTAAAAAAAATAAAAGAGGAAGTCTTTTTGAGAACAAAGGGAGTAGAATATTCTGGGTAAATAAATATAGTTGTGTATTATGTCACTATATAAAATTTGAAAGAATGAATATATAAGTATCCCACAAACCAAGAACTTTATAAGGAAAGAAACTAGAAATATGCTATGTGTACCCAAAGATTTGTACCCCAATTTGTACCCCGCAGTTTTGCACCAACATTTTGTGTTGGTGTAAAACTAATTTTTGTTAAACGCACCAACATTTGTGTCCGTGTGAATTTTTATTAACGCACCAACACTTGTGTCGGTGTAAACCATCGAAATGTTTGTGCAAACCTGTAGTATACAAATGGGGTATATTTGTTGGTGTAAGTGTCCAAGAAACTATATATGGAAAGATACGCTGCCCTTACTATATTTACAATGATTACCAAATAAGTAAAAATTAATAAACCCATTATTATCTAACACCCCTCCACAGTGTTTGAAGAAGACAAATGCCTAACAATGTGTCTTGAACGAAATAACATTCAATCACAATATCTTAAGCGCATTTATGAAACACAGGATTCACAACGATATATATATATATATATATATATATATATATATATATATATATATATATATATATATATATATATATAAAGAGAAGTCGTGCTATCATAAAATATCTGCATGGGAGAAGAATGACTCACACCTAGAACATGAAGCAAACCGTTAAGCCATTTCATCTCACAAGTCAAAACGACCATCAAACAATATTTAGCCTTAGCAGATGATCTGATAACAATGGGTTGTTTTTTACCTTTTTGGAAATAAAAGAAACCCCTGATTCAAAAGATCAATCAATTAAATAGTGACAAGTAAGAGAACATATTTCCGAGTTGAAATCACACCAACATGTCAAACTTAAACAATTGTCACGTCTAAACAGAATGTCATGCCCAATGCCACATTCCAGTGCTCGGTACGCAGTTCTTGTAAAAACTGAGCAAGAGTATGAACTGTGTAAGGCATACTCGAGTGAGTAACAAATAAATATGATACGCGCCCATATCGGATAGGGAAGGTTTTCAAGTACCTTCAAACTCCAAGAATGATAGATTGGAAAAATAGAGAGAAGAAGGTAAGTTGATGAGAGAAGATGGAAAAGATGAGGAGAGGGGGAGAAGAAAAGATGTTGGGCCTGTTTGGGAATAGCGTTAGAGATTTGGATAAAATTTTAACGGTACAGATTACTTTGAAAACGCTAACGCTAAACGCTGCCCGTAGATAGCCTTTTCAAAACGCTAACGCTAATCGCTAACGCTAATCGCTAACGCTAATCGCTAACGCTGTTCCCAAACAGGTCCATTGAAGATGAGAAGGAGAAGAGAAGTCGGCGAGCTACGACAGTGAAGCGAAGAGGAGGTTTAGGGTCTGGGAATATTATTATTGATTGATTAATCTAAATAAACATACATCCCTATTTATAGTAGAGAGCTAAAACCATAGCTAACCGTAGTCAGATCAGGACAGATCCTAAATCTCAGTCTTATCAGTTCAACAAATGCATCAAGGTAAAGAATCGAAAAGAAATCCTCGGAGAAGCCTATAATTCCGCTCACCTATAATAATAATAATAATAATAATAATAATAATAATAATAATAATAATAATAATAATAATAATAATAAAGGCTCACGATCAACTAGGAAATAACGTTTAGACGGACACCTTGATAAATGGCTGGGTCAAAACCGGATTTAGTGCAATGATAGAATATTTTGGGAAAATATAATTGTGTAATATATCACTATACAAAGATAAAAAGTGTATATATATGGGTATCCCATAGACCATGAACTCTATAAGGAAAGGAACTCTATATGGAAAGAAACTCTATCTTTATCATATTTCCAATGATTATCAAATAAGTAATACTCCCTCCGTCCACAAATAAACTTTTACGATGTTTGACTGAAGTTATTTTCAAATCATTTTATATGAAAAATGGTGTAGAATTGAAAAATAAAAATTACATATTAAAAAACTTCTCCGTATATCAAAAGATCTACAAAACTAAAGGTGACATGACTATATTATTTTATCGAATGGGTGACGAAAATAGGCCAACAAAGTGAATAAAGTTTGACTCTGTGAATAGTGAACGTAAAGTTTATTTGTGGACGGAGGGAGTAATTAATAATAATAAATCCATTGCACTCAATAATAATAGTAAATCCATCATTATCTAACAAATTAACAAAATAATGACATTGTATGTGTGTGTAGGTATGTTTTGCTTCGCGGTTCATCAGGTTTTTACTCCTACGCAATATACGAGCATGTTGGTTCACCAGAGTGGCCTCCGTTTTCCATTGGTGAGACCAGGATTGCATTCAAGTTAAGAAAAGACAAGTAAGAATTTAATTAATACTCCCTATTTCTCATAGTTTTCTTTTTCATTTGACTTGGTACAATTTTGAACAATACACTGTACATATTTTGTATGATTGTAATTTGTGTAGAGGAAAGGAAAATCCTGTAAATAATACTCTCTCTGTCCCATAAAACCTTTCTCCTTTCTTTTTTCATCCGTCCCATAAAACACTTTTCATTTCTATTAAAAAGTCACTTTTATCCCTTACTTTTTCATACCCTACCTATCACATCATACCTTTTTACTCATCACATCAAATGACATTTTTGAAAATTCAATACCAAAATACACTTCCTTAAATCTCTTCAAAAAACAAAACATCTCATGTTTAATGGGACGGAGGGAGTATATTTCTTAGAATAACAATGTATAATTACGTACAATTGAGTTGCTGAACTCTATATCGTTATGATATATATATATATAGGTTTCACTATATGGCCATGGCGGACAATAGGCAAAGGTTTATGCCATTACCAGAAGACCGCTCAACAGGAAGAGGGCAGCCCCTCGCCTACCCTGAAGCAGTCCTACTCCTCAACCCCGTTGAGCCTCTCTTTAAAGGAGAGGTCAGTTCAACTTCGCGCACCAACCTTTCAAATAAACTTCATACTTTTCGGAAAAGAATATAATATACTTCCGCCGTTTCGAAAAAATTCTTTAAATTCTTTAAGAAACGTGTTTAAAATATTTGTTACCAAATATTATGAGTCACATATTCATTGATAAATTAGTGAAGTATATATGAAGGCATATAGATAGCCCACAACATTTCATTTTCTGGTGTCAAATGCTCCCTCCGTTTCTCAAAACGGTTCCTGTTTTGACTTTGGAGAAAAATAAGGAAAGTGTAATTTTAGTTGACTTTCCAATTTTGCCTCTGATGTGATGGGTAAAGTAAGATGTGATAGTTTAGTTATTAGTGAAAAAGTATGATGTGATAGGTAGAGTATGAAAAGGTAGGGGTAACAGTGGTTTTTTAATAGAAAAAAGAAGTGTTTTGAGAAAAACAAAAAAATGAAATAGGAAGAGTTTTAAGAAACGTATGGAGTAAGATTTTTTTTTGCAGGTGGATGACAAGTACCAATATTCATGTGATAACAAGGACAACAAAGTCCACGGTTGGATATCAACAATGACAGCCGACCATCCAATGGTTGGCTTTTGGTTGATCACCCCTAGCAACGAGTTCCGGTCCGGTGGGCCCCTCAAACAGAACCTCACTTCTCATGTCGGTCCCATGGCCCTAGCTGTAAGCTCCGTATTCATTTTCGTAATTTACTTAAATAGCGCTAAAACATAACGATTTCTCTTAAATAGCATCTCACATGTTTTCTCGTTATGTCAATAGATGTTTTTGAGCTCTCATTATAGCGGCGAGGAGTTAACGCCTAAATTTGCGCAAGGTGAGGCATGGAAGAAAGTTTTCGGGCCTATTTTCATTTATCTAAACTATGCTATGGGAGTTGATGGTGCACTCACTTTATGGGAAGATGCCAAAATGCAGGTAGAAACTAATTACTCCCTCCGTGCTATAATGATCTTCCCGGTTCGCAAAACGAAGAAAAATCCCAAGTTTTTTTCAATCTATTTTGTTTAAATATTGGTATAGAAATAAAAATAAAATATACATATTTAAAAACTACATCAAAAGTTCAACAAAACAAGTGGTGACAAGAATATTTTATTTTATCATATAGGCCATGAAAAAACACAAATAAATATAAATTCCCGTGAAGTTGGAATAGTGCTCTGGGAAGATCATTATAGGACGGAGGGAGTATTAATTATTGATAAGTATATTGAGATTGATCTAAGTATTCCCCCTCCATAATGATGATGGGATCGAGTTCTTAGATCAAATAATTTATTATAGCTTTACTTATATGTTTTTTTAAACAAAGTTTTAAATTAAATAACCAAGTAAATAAAGTTTGAGGCGAGTTAAGCCACTCCCCTACATCATCGTCCGAACGAATACTGCGTACTAGCACATTACTCTCTCATATCTTAGTTAACAGTTCTTGTAATATGAATCTTCAGTAACATTATTAATATTTTAGTGAATTAAAATTCTCAATTACTAAGTGAAATGTCACTAAAGTAATGTATAATTTTCATTTTCATATACTCCATCCGTCTCCATTTTAATTATAATTTTAATTTCTCTTTCCTTTCGATAACTTTTGTTTATTTATGTGTTTTCATTGATTATTTGATAAAAAAACACTCTTCTCACCTCTTGTTTTGTAGAACTTTTTCGCCCGCCGTTTTTTCATATGTAATTTTTATTTCTTATTGATTTACCAATTTGTAAATAAAATGATTTCAAAAATTGTGAGATTTTTACATCGTAGTTCCGATTTTGTAATCAAAATAAGGACGAACGGAGTATCATTTTTTTCTAAATTACCTAATATGTAATTAAATATATTAATGATCAAAATACTTCATATTGCATTGACAAAAAATGAAAGTCATATTGGTGCAATTAATTTAAGATAAATTGAATGAAGTACTAGCTATGTTACTACATACAATTACAAATGCTATACGTGAACTATTTTCTCATTATTCCAAAATATGTAAACTTCATACTTCTCTAAATTAAGAAACAAAAGGTGTTACTCAAAAGTTTTTTCTCTCCTGTGAACAAATTGCAATCATATCTTCTACAAATTTTTTTAAAATATTTTTCTTAAACTATGTGAAATTAATTCATTAAGTATTTGTGGACGTGTGTAGTACTCCATATATAATAGTTTTATGCAGATGCAGGTTGAAGTCCAAAGTTGGCCTTATATGTTTCCAAGATCAGATGACTACTTCTTGGCCAATCAACGTGGAAATGTCACTGGCAAACTATTAATTAGTGACAAGTAAGAATAATGCATATTAAAACTCTGTTCTTTTGCTTTTTGGGAGTGGGGAAAAGAGAATATTTTTCCGTCCCTAAGTATTTGTCGAGTTTTGACTTTTTTCAGCAAACTATTTTCAACCTTTGACCTATAATTAAATAAAATATATATTGTATTTTAATTAAATAAAATAATATTTTGAAAATATTTGATATAATAAATCTAATAAAACTCTTTTTGCATCAATATCTAATTAATACTCCCTCCGTCCCCAAATAATCTTCCCCTTTCATTTTTTTTGTCCCCAAATAAATTTCTCTTTTTCTTTAAAAAAACCCCTTTTACCCCTTACTTTTTCATACTCTACCTATCATATCATACCTTTTTACTAATAATCTACCTATCACATCTTACTTTTACACATCACATCAAGGGTATTTTTGGAAAGTCAACACAAAAATATCTCTCCCTTAAATCCTCAAAAATTCAAAAATGAAAGTTTATTTAGGGACGGAGGGAGTATCATTTTTATTTAGTTTGAGGTCAAAATTTACTAATTTTGACCAAAAAAAGTCAAATGTGGACAAATATACAGGGACGGAGGGAGTACGTAGCATAATACTCCGGAGTATATAATATTATACTCCCTCCGTTTGGAAAAACTCTTCTCATTTTGATTTGGGGCAAAAATAATGAAGTGTTAAATTATACTCCGTAGTTAATTTCCAATTTTGCACCTGATGTGATAGGTAAAAGTAAGATGTGATGGATATATTATTAGTGAAAAATTATGATGTCATAGGTAGGGTATGAAAAAGTAAGGGTAAAAGTGGTTTTTTAATAGAAAAGGGAAGTGTTTTGTTGGAAGTGGAAAAAATGAAAGAAGAAGTGTTTTTGAGAACGGACGGAGTATATGTGTGTGTCTGTGTATGTATGTATGTATATTTATTTATTTGTGCTTTAAATATAAAATACTCTCTCCATTCAATATTTTAAAGTTATTTTTGACTTGACAAACTTATTAAGATGTTAAGTTTGCCTCTCTTTTCTAAATAAGTTTCAAGTACATAGTTACTTCAAAAAAGTACAACTTAAAGTCAAATGGGTGTTTAAAATAGTAAAGATTATGAAAACCTGGCCGCTATCTCACTAACAATAACAATAAAGTTCAGTAAAATCTAACGAAAAGCAAAGTCTGAGATAGGGTGTACACAAACTTTATCTCTATTTGTTAGTAGGGTAATGTTTCAAAAATACTATCTAAAGTTGTGAAAATATTTTGGCTTGGAAAGGTACATCTTTAATGACCTTATTCCCGCCAATGGTGCATATGTTGGACTCGCTCCAAAGGGAAATGTTGTTGGATCCTGGCAAAGAGAATGCAAGGTATCAAAACATTAAAACACTACTTTTAAAACATAAATACTCCCTCTGTCCCTAAATAAATTTCCATTTTTGACTTTTTGACTTTCCAAAAATACATTTGATGTGATATGTAAAAATAAGATGTGATATGTAGATTATCAGTAAAAAAGTATGATGTGATAGGTAGGGTATGAAAAAGTAAGGGGTAAAATGGGTTTCTAAGGGAAAAGAGAAGTTTATTTAGGAACAAAGAAAAAACGAAAGAGGAAGTTTATTTAGAGACGGAGGGAGTATCTTTTAGTCATATTTAGATATTTCTCGTCAATGATTAAATATAGACTTTATGTACTCAGTAGTACTCCCTCCGTCCCTAAATAAAGTTCCATTTTTGACTTTTTGAGGATTTAAGTGATGGATATTTTGGTGTTGACTTTCCAAAAATACCCTTGATGTGATGTGTTAAAGTAAGATGTGATAGGTAGATTATTAGTAAAAAGGTATGATGTGATAGGTATGGTATGAAAAAGTAAGGGGTAAAAGGGGTTTTTTAAGGAAAAAGAAAATTTTATTTAGAGACAAAGAAAAAACAAAAGAAGAACTTTATTTAGGGACGGAGGGAGTATATAGACAATGGTTTTTTTTGTTTCTTTGTCTTCCTTTAGGACTATCAGTTTTGGACCACCACTGATGAAGATGGCTACTTTTCCATCAACCACATATGCCCCGGGAACTACAATATTCATGCTTGGGTCCCTGGATTCGTGGGAGATTATTGGAACGAAGAAGCTGACATAACCATAACTTCGGGCTTTGTTATGGATATGGGCGAACTGGTATATGAGCCTCCAAGAGATGGACCCACATTGTGGGAGATAGGCATTCCCGACCGTAGTGCTGCTGAATTCTATGTTCCTCATCCAAACCCTAATTATATCAACAAGCTTTATCTTAATCATCCTGACAGGTACAGTCAGGTTTATTATGACAATTTCTTTTGTCCATTAATACATTAATTGAGTGACTCCGTCCTAAAACTTTCTTCACAGAACACTATTCCAACTTCACGGGAATTTATATTTATTTGTGTTTTTTCATGGCCTATATGATAAAATAAAATATTCTTGTCACCACTTGTTTTGTTGAACTTTTGATGTAGTTTTTAAATATGTATGTTTTATTTTTTATTTCTATACCAATATTTAAATAAAATAGATTGAAAAAACTTGGGATTCTTCTTCGTTTTGCGCAACGGGAAGATAGTTTTAGGACGGAGGGAGTAACTTACAAATTAGAATGCATATTAGATGAGTTAGAATATTTGTTAACTTTCAATCAAAAGTACGATCGAGCTTGTGGTTGAGTTGATTTCTTGGTATGTTATTAAATCGTTGTTGACGTAGAGGTTCGTGTGCAAGGCTTGAACAAGCATATATCCCCTACATGCGAATTAAAGAGACATATCAAAGTACAAAAATATTCTCTGAGATTCAACCACAAGTTTGACCTGTCGTAAAGTAGGTTTTTTTAAAAATGCATGACATGTTTTAGTGTAGATAACAAGTTAAAATGTTTTCCTTTCATTTCTTTTTTCTTTTGAATAGATTTAGGCAGTATGGACTTTGGGAAAGATACTCAGAGTTATATCCAAATGAAGACTTAGTTTACACTGTGGGTGAGAGCGATTATGCGAAAGATTGGTTTTATGCTCAAGTCACAAGGTATATATTCACATAACACGGAAAATGTTCATTGCCATGTGACGTATTTAATTACATTTATGCATGAGTGATAATTATGCATCTAATATGAATATGTTTTTTATTCTCTTTAAAAAGGAAAAAGGAGGACAACACTTATCAAGGAACTACATGGCAAATTAAGTTTAAACTTGATAGTATCCATCTTGATGGCATCTACAAATTACGCGTGGCAATTGCATCTTCCACATATGCTGAGCTACAGGTAAATATATATAAGTACATTATCTCAAAATACAACTTGGGACTCAATGGGTCCATATTTTTATACAAAAAGAAAACCTAATATGAACACATTTTCAAATAAATACGTGCATTGAATATATACACTCCATCTATTTATAAAAGAACTACTGTATATAATTCTCATTTTCAAATTCATGCAGATAAGAGTCAACAATCCAAACACCAATCAACAACCACTATTTAGCAGTGGGTTAATAGGGAAGGATAACTCAATTGCTAGGCATGGAATACATGGGCTATACTGGCTATTCAATGTGGACATAAAGGGAAGTTCACTTGTTGCGGGAGATTATTATAATGCCATTTACTTGACTCAACCAAGGAATCAGAGTCCATTCTATGGAATCATGTACGACTATATTCGTTTTGAAGCTCCTCCCACAAATCCTTACCGATAATTTAATATACTATTATTGTACTCCGTGTAAAATAAACCACTGTATATATATATGTATATGTAAAATAAAAGTAAACGTTCTTCCATCACAAAAAATGACGGATAATTTAATATACTATTATTGTACTCCGTGTAAAAGCAGATGATTTATTATTTTTATTATTAGGTAATTTATGCAAATAAAACTTAAAACACATCACTTCCCTAAATGGAAAGTCTTATTTACTCTAATGTTTGGCAATAGAAAGTTCTAAAATATCTTGCCTTTGAGAAGAATGACCTATTACGCAATTCAGGTAGAATAAGACACTATTAGATCAATTTCAATTTCAGTTCGCGATACTTCACGCAATAAGTCAAAACCTTTTGTTGGCGAAAACTGTTCAGATGCCGTGTTCACTTGAAAAGTAACATTCCAATAAACACACGTTATTGTGACAAAAGATGGTTGTTAACAATAAGTGTTAGACCTAACTTATTCAAAAACAAATTTTAAGAATGGACGTTTACTTCATACTTATCAATGGATCTATTTGATTATCTTTAGTTAAAATGTCGAATAACTCAAACACCTCTACTCGCGAGTCACAACTACCATCCACTAGTTAGTATATTTCATGGGATTTTCCATATAATGCCCCACTACCATGACTACGCATCAAGTCATATAGTCAAATCGTATGTCTCTAATATCATGTTAAAAATAATTGTTAGACCTAACTTACATCAAAAAAACTTTCAAGAGTTGTTATTATTTACTCATACTTATTTGAGAAAATCACCTCAATTTCTCTCATTTGTGTTGTTAAAATAGACAAAATCATATTGATAAAAATGATAAAAAAAACACACCTTAAACTAATTATTCAACTATAAATGAATATTAAGATTTTCATTCAATTCCTCAAATAACGTATAGAAATCACAGGACCATAAACTCTTTCATTATTCACCAAGAAATTTTGTAGATACATATAACAACCTTTCTCAAATCATTTATAGGTTTTAGCTTATGAATTGTGACTTTTATATGCAAATTAAACTATATAAATACTTTTCAGCAAAGATATAAATAAATAATTTCCCCTTGTAAGTTACTCAATATTATACTCCCTCCGTCCCAAAAAGAATGTGACGGTTTGACTTTTTGGGAAATTAAGGGAGAGATATTTTGGTATTGACTTTCCAAAAATACCATTGATGTGATGAGTAAAAGTAAAATGTGATGGGTAGATTATTAGAAAAAAGGTATGATGTGATAAGTAGAGTATGAAAAAGTAAGGGGCAAAAGTGGTTTTTTAATAGAATTGTAACAGACTTTACGTGACGCAACTTTTTCTAAACGTAACAAACTTTTTGGGACGGAGAGAGTATTTGATTTTCCCATAAGTCACCACACATTCTCAAACACTCTCCAAAAGCTTTTAAGGTTTCGTTTAATACACAAAACTCAAACTATGTAATTGAAATTTAGGACTTTAATTTTAATTACTGTTTGCTAACTCAAAAATATGTGAATTTAGAATTGGCAGTGCAAAAAATGAATTGGAGTAAAAAAAATCTAATTCTACATAATTTCAATTCTAATTTAATTCCAGTTTCATGAACTTTTCTAATTCAATTTTATTATTTAAATTTTGTATTTTTAATTTTAAATTTATATATTTAAATTTCAAATTTTGTATTTTTAGTTTGTAATTTTTAATTTGGCCTCTTTGATTAGTCAAAGAAGTGAACGTTGCCAGAGAAGTCAAAAACCAGCCAAAAAAACTATTTTCCGATACATCGAAAGTCTATAAGACCCATTTCTTTTTTATGATTCGGAAATGATCCAAGTGATTTATTTTGATATGTAGAATTTAAATTCTCGATTACAAATTCTTTTGTTGTGTTATGAAGTCAACAATGTGAAATTGGAAAAATTTAAAATTATAAATTATTATTCAATTCTAAATTCACATATTTTTGTACTACTAAACAACAGAGTAAAATTGAAATTTCTCAATCTTATTTTATGATACTTCATCCGTCCCAAAAAATCTTTCCTGTTTCATTTTTTGCGCATCCCATAAAACACTTCTATCACGCCTTGAATGCCAAAAAAACTTTCAATATAAGTTCTACCCACAATAAAGAAGAAATATTGTAAATTTTAGGCATTTTAGATGTCAGTAAAAATGTTTTATAGAATGCATAAAAAATAAAAAAAGAAAGACTTTTTGGGACGAAGGAAATATGAATTTTGTATACTAAAAGGAACCAAATGATGCTCATGGCCATTCAATTACACATCCATGTGATTACCCGGTGCATCCGCCCTCACCAGATCCAAAACCTCATTTTCCTCTCTCTCTGTAATACAGACAGACAGGGAGGCATTGATCATCGATCACACATGTCCAGATCCACGACGTCCGTTTCTTTATCTCCTCCACCTCTTCTTCTTCTTCGCTGCTCTCCCCTAAATTCTCTATTCACCAGGGCCACCGAATCCAATACCGATCCTCTCCCAAGTCAATGGATTCTCTACTGCTACTGCTCTTATCTGTATCACTAGGGCACTCCATCTTCATCCTCACGATGCTGCAGCAGTCCCATTGACTTCCCACTCCCAGGAAAGTCCACGATCGGCGCCTTCCACTCCGGAAATGGCGGCTTCTCCGGCGAACTTTCTGTTCGGGTTCTTGTTCCTCTCGATCATCCTGTGGCTTCTCTTAACGTAAGTGGCAGATTTTGAGTTTCCATATGTGCGTATCCATTACTGTGTACTGCTGCCGCTTTTCCCCTCTTGATTTTTGGCGCGATAGTGCCTGTGAGGCGCGCATGTGCTTTTGCTGAGTTGGGAAAACGGTAGTGATTTGGGCGTGTCAGTGCTGGAGTTTTTGGTGTTTGGAGCTTGTTTAACAGTGTAGTTGATGTAGCTTTAGTTTTCGTGCAATGAGCAGTGATGGTCATAGTTAGGATTTGCATCGGCCCATTGAGCTTGCATCTTTCTTTGAACTGTGAAGCAAATCTTTCAAATTCTGTACTTGTTCTGTGGGGTGTGGACATGGTGGTAGATGTAAAGGACGAAATGCCCCCCTGGAACACTTGGCTTGAAGTGAACTGTTTCACTTTCCTTTTCGTATATCTCACTGCCTGTACTGAAATTGCATACCGATTAATACTATGTTGATAACATTTTCCAACCCTTCATTTGACGTGTGTGGCCTCCTTCAGTTTATAGTGAGAAGTGGAACTCATATGCCGTTCTTGGTGTTTAAGTATATACTTACATAGTTACATGGTATGGAACTGGGAGATTAGCCACCATACTACCATCCGTACTCAAATGTTGGGTAATACGGAGTAGTATTTCTGTATCATAGGGTGGTGTTTCTTGTTGTGGTGCAAACATAGGTAAAGTTTCTAAACCACTCTTAAAAGAACTATAGAAATTTAAATACAAATACAACAAGAGTATCCCAATAAAATCCCACAAGTGGGTCAGGGGGTGGGTGTACGCACACCTTGCCACTACCTATAAAAAACAGAGGTTTTCACCAAATCCAAAAGAGAATCCACCAATCAGTTCAATCCAACTACAAAATGGAAGATAAATAACTACTAGAGAGTAGAAAATACCAACAAAAGGAAAGAAAAAAACAAACAAACAAAAAGGCTACATATGACACAACACACAACCTACTAGACTTAGTTAACCTGGAGGAGGTGAGGCCTACACTGCAACTCTAATAATCGATTTCCAAAGGCTTATATCTACGGTATCCAGTGAGCCAACACACATTAACTCTACTTCAGTCTACCTCAGCGGCTCTACCCCTCGTTGCATCCCCCATTGCCAACTTCTTGCACCTTCTCAAAGAGGAGCATTCGTGCTCCTCAAAAATAAAATTCAAATCTTCATGAAATTATGTAGTGGAAATAAAGACAAATGGAAGAAACCTTATTTTTAATAGAAGAATTGAAGCTTCATAAATTTAAAATTTATAATTAAAAAATAACTTTAAATTGTCAAAACAGCTAGTTTACTTTCACAAATGGAAATAGTTGAATAACATTAAGTCTTATGACTCCATTTGCAATGAATGATAAGAGTAGGCAAATATTAAGTCAGACCCCTTTATGAAGGTAAATGTGAAAAACGAGGGCCGTAATAGACTGTACGACAATAGGTCCATTCCTATGTGGAAATATTGGATCAAAATGTGAACATAATTGGATTCGGAACGTGATGTTATAAGGTCTATCTGTTATTTCTATCTGTGGAATGACATCAAAATATGTAGTTGGTATACCATTCCTTCTTGTTTAGCAAGCTCTACTATACTAGTATATTTTGTTTTGAGTAACTTGATCCGATTGGTGCTCCATCTAATCTAGAAGGCTGCTTTTTGGTGAAGGGGAGGGGCATATACCATTTATGGTTTGAGAGTGTAAGTCTAGTTTGCGAAATTCCCCATAAATTCTCTTTGTTAACTATAGTAAGTGAAGTTCCCATATACAGAGTACCTCTTTGTGTGTTCACTATGTGGGTTTCTAGGGAAACCATGAGGAGGTGGTTCTGGTATATGGCAAAGAGCCATCAGCATCTAGTTGAGAAAAAGCTATGGAAGATTAAACCAGAGCTCAGAAAGTGTCATACACTCATACATATGCACCAATATAATTGAATGTATAAACTATGAAGATCACATTAGGGCGTGTGAACTGAACTAGAGTTTGAGGACTCATGCCAGTGAACTAGGAACTCTACACTCTATAGGAAGGTAATTCCTGTGCTGATTAAGTAACCAACCGTGTTGCCAGCTTGTGGGAAAAACACTAGTAGGGCAGAACTATCATCGTCACAACAGTCTTGAAATTCCTCTTAGTGGCTCTACTAGAATAAACTCTAAAGCTTAGTATGGTTTAGTATTTCTGGCTTTATTTCTACGGTAACAGAAAAGGGAAAAAAGTCTTAAGAATTTTAGAGCTATAAGTAATCTAAAATAATAAAGTAATCATTGTGTCATTGATGCTTCTACTTATAACTTGAGTTTATGCAACCTCCCATTTAGGAAAATATGAGGCGGTGGTGCCTTGCTTAGAAGTGAAAAAATAGAAAATTTTCCCGGGAAAAAGAAAATCTAAAATGGTGAGTGTTTGTTTGGTTCATGGAGTTTAGAGGAATCAGGCCATCAACCTTTTAGACAAAC